AAGTCAGCAGCACAGTCGATAGAGGGTGCTGGGGGGACAGAAGGTTTGCTCAGACCCCCTGTACTGACCTAGTGCACTTACCCCTAAGTCTCTGCGGGCATTAATTGCCAACAGCAAAAAGACACACCATCACCGATTGGAGCCCCCTTCCTGGAGAGGTGGCACCTGGTAGCGTAGTGGTTCTGTTGAGCTGTGATCTACAAGACCTGTAGTTTGAAACCACCAGCCACTCCTCGGAGGAAGACAGGGCTTTCTACTCCAGGAAACTGCTAGTCTCAGAAACACACAGGGGCAGCTCCACCCTTCCCTATTGGGCCGCTGTGAGTCAGCACTGACTCGATGCAGTGACTTTAGTTTTTCTGATTCTTATACACCCCTGCTGCGGGTGGCCCGAAGCCAGTGAGTGATTTCAGGTGCAAACAGCTGGTACCCTGGCCTCAAGGTGTGATCAACTCCAAGATGCAAGTCATGCTCCAGAGCGCTTCATGGGATCAGGTGGAAGATAATCCAGGTAGAGCCATATCTTTGCTCTTCCCCTCTATTGCCTGCACATAGGTGGGTGATGCACATAGTTATTTGGAAGGTGGAGCGGTAAACCTAGCAGTCCTGGTGGCACCAGGGTTACCCATTGGGCTGCAGTTTGAATTCATGGCTGTTTCTCCGGAGAAAAGCAAGGCTCTCTACTGTCATGAGGAGTTACAGTCTCAGAAACCCACACGGCCTATAGGATCCGCAATGGCTGGATGGCAGTGACTGAGCCTTACACGTACCCAGAGATAGCTGGGGAGAAAGGCCTGCCAAGCTACTCGTGAAAGGAGCGAGAAGTCTCTGCACTGGGTTCTGCTCTGACCTACACAGGGTCACCATGGATCGGAAGTGACTCACTGGCACCTGGTTTGGTTTGGTGACTGTCTCCATCCCGTCCCTGCAGGCTCTGAGGGTTCCGCTCCCTAACGCCATTAGAAGCCTCTGCAAGGCAAGCTGGATCTCTTTTAATGACTGTTTGGCATTTGATATTCCTAAATTCCAATAAATCGCATTAAAAATAAAGAAAGAAAACCTTGGTTCAGGCTCAAAAACGAGCAACTGCGTGTGGTTTTCCACCTGAAAGCCCACCTTGGCATCAACTTCTAGGGAAGCTGGCCTACGACACTTCGAGAATCCTACGGAAGAACGTGGGTAGCACTGTTGTTGTTTGGGGCCACCTAGTCAATTTCTCCTCAGAGCAGCCCTACAGCCACCCGGGAGGGTTTCCCAAGCGGAAATCCTTACAGGAGTAAGATTTAGGAATAGGTGGCCATGTCTTTCCTGCTGTGGAGCTGCTGAGAGGTTCAAACCACTGAGCTCTGGGTTAGGGGCAGAGCGCTCACCAAACTCACAACTCACTGCGATCGATCGAGTCCCTGCCGAAGGATAGGGAGCCACCCCGTAGGACAGGCTAGAACTGGCCCTGTGGGTTTCTGGGACTGGAGCTCTTTGCAGGCCTAGGCAGTCCCATCTTTCTTCCATGGAGCGGCTGGTATTTTGATATTCCCAAATTCCAATTAATAGAGTTTTTTAAAAATGACAAAATCTTTCCAACTGCTGACTTTGCAGTTGGCACCCAAATGCTTAGCCACCGAGCCACCAGGCCTCTTTTTTGCCACCCGAGATCCTAAATTAAAATGAACATTTATGATTTTTAGTCTAAATCCCTTAAATGTCTACCAACTTGGCCAATTTCATGAGGATTTCGATTTGTGGGCTTAAACATATTTGCCAAATTGTCTTAGGGTGACATGTAGAATTTAATAGTCAAAGTAGCTTTCCACATCCCCCGCCCACATTCCAATTCAATTCGCATATTGCCTACCCAAATTATTTATCCATGTGTGGGTTCTGCAATAAGACCCAAAACCTATGGATGGTGGAAGCCTATCAGAGAAGGAGAGTTCAAGAATTTTCCACCGAAACAAGATGGAGCAAAGTGGTGTGACTGCACCTCATCAAAGGTGGAAAATCAGCCAGACCCTGAACACGGCAGGCCTGCCAAGTTCCGGCTCTCACAGGTTTCCCTGGATCTGGAGACGAGCCTGAGACCATCCTCCCATTCTGAGAAGGTTCCTTTCCCTAGTGCTAATGGAAAGCCGCTGCTGCACAAGACCTCCTTATGGTATTGAAACGCAAGCATGTTGCTTTGAGGAGGACTGGGGTGCTCCTGACCTAAGCCATGGTATCTTCCACTGCCTCATATGCACGTGAAAGTGGGACATTGAATCAGGAAGGCCACAGAACAATCGACACATTTGAACTGTGGTGCTGGACAGCGTTGAAAGTACCATGGACAGCTAAAAGGACAAACGGATCTGTCTTGGAAGAAGTACGGCCAGAATCCTCTTAGAGACAAGGATGGCAAGGCTTCCTATATTCTTTGGACATATGGTCAGGAGAGACCAGTCCCTGGAGAAGGACATCATGCTTGGTAAAGCGGAGGGGCAGCGACAAAGAGGAAGGCCCTCCACTCAACCAGCTGGATTGACACAGCGGTGGCAATAATGGGCTCCAACGTGCTCAAGCATAGGAACCATTGTCAGGGTGGCGTGGGACAAGGCAGTGTTTCCTTCGGTTGTGCAGAGGGTCGCCAAGTTGTCACCAACTTGATGGCACCTAACATCAACAGCAGCAGCAGCAGCAACGAGAAGACAAGACTCTGGGAGGCAAGTTGGATGTGCTTGAATGGGTTCAGGCGCAAATGAAAAGCTTTATCATTTGTTGTCGAGAATGAAAACCACACCACCCATCAACCACTCCGATCAGTGAGAGTCTCTCTTGCTTCTCGGGAAAACCGACTTCCCTGACTCAGACTCCTTGGTAGTTCCTGGCCAGTGCTTCCAGCCCCTCGGTGCTCATCCGCAAAGTGACCTCCTATCTCGTGGGTGGTTGGGCTGAGGGTCCTACAAGGGTGGCGTGTGCCTTTCCTGCAGTGTGAGTTTGCGTGTTGGGGGTGGGTGGAGGGCTTCTCTCACTGTTTCTCGTTCAGGATTAGGTGGCTTTCAGGCCTCAGTATTGAACAGGAAGGCAGGCCTTTTTCCCTTCATTAATGACCAATTAATGACCGACCCACCTTGGCTGACCTCCTCAAACTACCTCTGGCACACAGAAAAGTGCATTGCCCAGAGTTGTTTTATTGATTTTCTATCTAAAAGCATTATCTTTCTTTTGTTTGTTTGTTTTCCTTCACATTTTTGCCCTTCTAGCCACACGGGAAGTCAGCAGGTTTAAACCACCAGCCTGGTGGGAAACCCCTAGGGGTCAGTCCTACCCTGCCCTACAGGGTCACCATGAGTCAGAATGGACTTGGTGGCAGTGAGTTTGGTTTTGGCTAGCCATGTTATGAAGGAGCCCTGGTAGTGTAGTGGTTACATACCGCGCTGCTAACCACCAGGTTAGCAGTTTGAAACCACCAGCCATTCCCCAGGAGAACTCACGGTCAAAAACTCACTGCCCTGGGGTTGATGCTGACTTACAGTGACACAGTGATCCAGAACAAGGTAAAACTGTCCCTGGGAGTTCCCAAGGCTATAACTCTTTACAGGAGTAGAAAGCCCCATCTTCTCCCATGGAGCGGGCTGTGGTTTCTAACTGCCGACCTTGTCGTCAGCACCCCTACAGGTCACCACTATGCCACCAGGGCTCTGGGGTTCGACAAAGCTCTCTACTCCTGCAAAGAGGTACAGTCTGGGAAACCCACGGGGGCAGTTCCACCCTGTCCTATATGGAGGCAGAATTGACTCCAGAGCAGTGAGGGGTTTTTTTGTTTCTGTTTTTTAAGCCATGTTGTAAAGCATAACGTTGGAATATTCTTGGGGCCAAATGATCAGCCTGTGGTCACAGAGCTAGCTGGGAACAGAGTTGTGTGAAAACCCAGTGTAATCTTGAGGGATCTACTTGCTGGGCAAGGGTACTCGGGACCACAGTCTCAGGGGGCCCCAGGTCAACTGGCACAACATAGTTCGCAGAGACAGGTTCTACATCCTACTTTGGTGAGTAGCAAGGAGGGTCTTAAGAGATCATGAGTGACCATCTGAGGTACAATGGTCATCTACGGGAAGGAGGAGTGATGAGATTTGAAATGCACATGGGAACAATGAGTAGACTGGCCAAAGTGATCCTGGGACTGGAAGAATTAGATAGTGCACAGAGACCACTATTAATTGCTCTGAAAGGGATCGTATCGCAGGAGCGTCTGGGGGACAAATGTGGAAGAACAACTCGAAATCATCGAAGAGATCCAGGCGTACTGCAGAGAGTGACTGGTGGGACGAGTAAGACTTTGGTTCTCAGTTACCCTTCATGTCCAGAAAATGAGCTCACCTGGCGCTTAGTCACCCTTCACGTCTGCAAACAAGTTCAGGAAAAGAGGAGGCGATACGATCACAGGAAACCGAGGGAGGAGGCAGAAGAAGTGATGACGTACACAGAGAGGCAGCAATGAATGAGATGAGACCAAATGTGTACGAACTGCTGACTGTAAAACTGATGATCTGGCTCTATCAACCTTCACTCGATTCACAACAAAGGGTTAAAAAGCAAGACAACCCCCTCCCTCCAACTTACGGAGACTTTCTGAGATTCGAATCCAACATCCAATCACAGTGCGTCACCTACCGACGTAAGAGCCTAACCTAAGACACTTCTTCAAAGAGGATAGGAATAATACTGTCTACTTCACAAACTATCATAAGGAATCCAAAGGAATAGCAACCCGAGGACAATTCTTTGTTGAAGGGGCACCCATTGGACGTTTGATGGAAACTGAGGGTCTTCCCCTGGGAGCTGTGCTTTCTGCACTGTGTCCACAGTCAATGTTCCTTCTGGTGTGCACAGGTCATGAGGGTGCGACCCTTTGAACCCTGTGGGAGAACAGGGCTTGGGCGCCATGATCACCGTGTGCTGCTGCCCCGTGCCCCACACAAGCTGACAGACGGGAACCGGGTGGGAGCCCCCGGGGGATGGCCTACCTGGTGGTGGTCCGGATGGTGTTTTCTTTTGTGTGATTGTGCTCTTTGCTCACTTTTTCTGAAACAAGAAAGAATAAAACATGCACCTTTTAGGCGGTTCTTTCTCAACTCTTGTCCTTGACGCTGAAGCAGATGAACACTGGCCAATATCTAACTCGTGGGCTGAGGAAGAGTGGAGTCAGGTTTCTTTTGTAAACATTCATACCCTCCCTGTCTCAGTGGGAAAGCATATCGATAAAAGCAGGAGAAAAAAATATTTTTATTAAAAGAGCAAAAACTACTTGATAAAAATCCAACAGCAGAAAAACAGGTGATTACGAATTTCAAGCACGTTGTCTAGATTTTAATCAGGTCTTAAGCACACGTGAAAACACACACACACACACACACACACACACAGGTGTGCCTAAAGCCAGCTGTTCCCAGTCCATCTTCCCCCAGCTGAAAATTTCTGCTTCCCTCTGATTCAGCAGGAAAACTGCGGTTGTTGCAACTGCTGTGCTCCTGGCTTTGATGACAATCTTTAAGGATTCAGCACTGTGAGGCCCCTTTGTGAGAGGGGACACGAAAAGGGGCCAGAAGACCTCTTGGTGCGGCAGTCACCGAGTGCCTGTTCTGATAAATGTCACCAGGGACAGAAAATATCATTAGACAAGGACAAGGGAAGCCCTCCCCTTACTCTGCCTTGAGATCTGTGTCTACCAGCTGTCAGAAATTATTTAATTAGCTTTCAAGAACACAAACGTTGAACCCTGGCCTTCCCAACCCAGTTCAAATGCTAGGACTTGGCCCTGAGTCTCAATGACTTCTAAGTATCTGTAGAAAGCCTGGCCAAGTCTACGAGGGTTTCACATTTCAACTGCAGGGCAAGTAAAATAGCTCCGAGTCTCGCAGATTTTAGGGGGTGGAGTGGATTTAAACAAAGACGTAAAAGACCTGGTCCACACTTTGTAATACAGGTTTGTGGCCGCTGTCTGCAGGCTTGCGGGCACAATTCCTTTCTGTCCACTCAACGTTGACAAGGAGGTTGGATTTGGATTGGCAGCCAGCATTCTCTCACTGAGAACAGGATCAGTGGCCTAGCTAAGGGCACCTCGGCCAGAGCCAGAGCCAGGCTGAGAACTCGCACACAAAGCTTCTCGCCAACGAGAGATGATGGGAGCCGGCGATAACATACAGTTAAGAGACAGGCTGACACGAATCCCAAGGGTCTCCCCTTTGCAAACTTTAACTGCTAAGACTACTTTTCTCCCTGTAAGTTGCATTGTGTTTAGATGCTATACCTTCAGCATGTTAAGGAGCCTGGTGGTGCAGTGTTGGGCTGTGATCTGCAAGGTCACCAACCCCATGGCAGTGAGTTTGTTCTGTGGTTTTCAGAACGTTAACAACAAAAGAACACCTGAAATGTTTGGGAGCTTGCAACCACCAATCTACAAGGCTCAAACGCACTGCTATCCTGTCACTCTGGTTCCTGACGACCCTATAGGGCAGGGTAGACCTGCCCTGTGGGTTTCCAAGACGGTCACTATTGACTGGGGTAGAGAGCTGGTGGCTAGCAGGCCACTTGTATTCCACTATGCCACCAGGGCTTCTTCTGCCGATGTACACGTCCCATGCCATTCTCTGCCTTAACTCTCTCCGCTCGGGTGCTGATCTGTCCTGGTTTGAAAACCCTGGTGGAGGCTGGCGCTAGCATGCCACTTGATAGGGCACAGCGATGGCCTGTGCGGCCAGGCCAATGACAGGGGGAACAAGGCAGTGGCACACAGGTCCCAGCTTCTTTTCCCTCTCCTAGGGGAGGGAGAGAGAAGGGCAACAAGAATGTCTAAATAATGAAGCATTGAATGGGTGCTTTAAATTTATTGTCCGCAGCAAGAGTCGCTCACACATGAGCAATACACCCTGCTGATCCATGAACTCCGGTCTGCAGACCGTGGGTCTCCAAACTGACTTAGCCCATCGCCTTCTGTTCAGGAACTTTTTTTTTTTTTTCATACTCAGCAGCCCCCTGCCAATTAGAAACTTTTAAAATCTATAATGCAGAATAAAGTGTGGGTAGGTATCTGCTTCTTCAGCCCCCTGAATCATTCCAGCGGCCTGCTAGAGGGCAGGATCGCCCATTTTGGGAAGCACCGTTGACCAATGTTTGCCACTGAGCAAATGTGAATCTTGTAGCTCCTACAACTGCACCTCCCATGTGCTGTGTCATCCTGTGACCTCACGTCAGAGAACAGCAGCGTACTAAATGTGTTCAGGACAAATCATCCGTCGTTTGACAGAGGGAATAACGGCTTATGTGCTGGAACCTCGCCACTGATGCATAGAAAACATTCGACGAGATGATAAGGAAGTCATCCTCAAACTTCCGTTTTTTCCCTTCCCTTTCCTTCCTTTTATTTTTGGTCCCCTCTCTATTTTTCTTCCGGCAAGAGACCGTAGTACAAGCTCATTAATTCAGACCACAACTAATTTGGAATTCATGGTAATTCACTCACTGCTGGGGTAAATTGAGGTTTATCTTTTGCACATTGAACTATAAGGGGAGTGTTAATCAGATCAGCTGCCTGAACAAAATTAGAGGTGAGATGCTTAGCCCATTAACCATGATTCATTCGCGCAGAATTGAACCGGGTTCTAATTTCAACTGATTCTGAGCTATTTATTAGAGAAAGTTTGGCAGGCGCACTGCCTGGCAGTGCTTGCTGAACTCGCAGTCCGGGCGGCAGGACACATTTGAAGTAACGGAAATGGGCTTCTGACTAAAAGAAGTCCTTCAATAGGGTTTCGTTAGTTTGCTTTTGCTGCTGACTTTGTGGCCAACGGCTTTCCTTCTGATTGCTTCTAATGACTGCTTTGTCTGCTCACTGACTGAGTTAGTTAATTGTGCCAGCCTGGCCGATAATCACATGTGGGGCTGGTTGAAAGGCGGAGGGATAAATGGGTGGTGAGCCTCGCCTTTCTAGTTCTCGGGTCTCTTGCTTTGTGATGGTCGCACCGGGTGCAGCTGCCTTAGCAGTTCCCTGCTTCAGCTTGCAAGGCTGACTTCCTGCAAGACATCCCCAAGGAGAAACTCCATGGACCTATCCCGATGCAGCCCTGGGTGCTGGAGCAGCCGTGTGGAGACCCCTGCTAGTGCTGAGATGCTTGTTCGTTCACTGACTCAGCTTTCCTCCTGCAGTCGGCATCATTGCCTCTGTTTTGTGAGGTGGAGGACTTTGTGGACTGGTGTTGGGTAAATGGGTTAATGTTGGACTTGTGGGCTTGGGCAGCATTGGGTTGGGATGTTTTCGTGATGCACATTTTCTTTACATAAAACTCTCTCTTATGCATGAGTTGCTGTGGATTTGTTTCTCCAAAGTACCCAGACTAACACACCGACTTACCTGACAGCTGGAAGAGAAGCTCAGAAGCCATCTTCACCGAAATATCCTGACTGAAGAGGTTTCTCTCGGGGGGGACTCGGCCCTCAGGCCACTTGGGTAAGGGCTCCGTCTTCTCCCGCCCGATTAAAGTGCTGGAGCCCACATTCCGGCTGGGGGATATCGAGGCATGCGAGTCCTGGATGTCAACCTCCATGGGCTCCTCTTTAAGCGTCACCATCTGCGTCTCCCTGTAGCTTTCGGCTGCACAGAGGTGAGACAAAAACACCACCGCGTCGTCACTCGGAACCAGAGCCAGCTGCCAAGCAAGAGGGAAGCCCCAGGGTTGTGTCGGGAGGCTGTTTAGAAAAGCGCACCTGGGCCCGTGGAACAGTCTGAAAAATGACTCAACTAATCCAACCCATCTGATTTCCTGAAAAGGAAGGGAGCCGAAGCTCAGGGACAGGGGGCAGTGTTAAGAAATGATGTGTCAACTTTGCCCAAGGTTGGAAGTTCAAGACCACCTAGAGGTGCTTCAGAAGGCCGGCTGGTCCTACTTTAAAACAACAACAAACTCAGCCACTGAAAACTCCATGGAGCATCGTTCCACGGGGACTCTCCTGGGGTCACCATGGGTCAGAGTCCACTTGAAGGCAACTCTATTTTTAGCCCAAGGTCACATGGATGGCAGAAAGCAGGCCAGGCCAGAGTTCCTGACTGATACCTGCCGAGGGCAGTCACGGCTCCTTCTTCTACCGCAACAAACACCACTGAGCACCCTGTACCGGTGCGCCAATTCCGACTCACAGCGCCCTCGGGTGTCAGGCCAGAGCTGTGCTCCCTCCAGAGGGGCTTCACTGACCAGTATTGCGGAAGAACACGGCCGGGCTTTTCTTTCTAGGTGCCTCTGGGTGGATTTGAACTTTGAATCTTTCGGTTGGCACCCAAACAAACCCAGCCCACTGCCATCAAGGCCATTCTGACCCCTAGTGACTCTCCGGGACAGGGGGCTCTTGTTCCCACGGGGTTTGGGGGGGCTCTACATCTCTAGGAGGCCAACAGCCCCATTTCCCTCCAGGTGGTGGGTTTAAACTGCCCACCTTTGCCGTGAAGCAGCCAACACTTACCACACTGGACCACCAATGCTTGGCTCAATCTCCGTTCTCCTATTTTGACCTACTCAGAGTCAATGAACTAAAGACGAGCAAGCATGTCAGTGATACAATTTTCTCCCTCTATTTTTAAAATCTCTGATCCCCACCCCACCCCGCTTTTCCTAAGACACCAAATTAATAAAGGGTCAAAAGGGTCAGCTCAACAGAGCCCTTTACACTTTGCTGGGAGCTAGTAATAATCAGGAACACGTAGGAAGGAAAGATAATTGCAGCCCCTGGATTAACACCTAGAAAAGAGCCAGCACTCTCACAGGATATAATAAAGGTTCATTTACTGGCTGTGCTTCCTTCAGATGTGAGTGTGAGGTGTGTGGTCTTTGGTCTGAAACCTAACATTCAGTTGGCAAGGCTGGCGCGTTTTTATGTCTCTACCATTCCTCAGGGCTAGATTAGAAGATTGAACATTTTTCCAACAAGGTGGAACAATTAGCCCAGCCATTAATTTGAATTGCTTTAAAATAAAGCCACACTTCCAAATTAATAAAGTACCTGTGAGTAAATCTACAATGTACCCAGCACTCCAGAAGGCAACAAACAAGAAGACAGGTTCCCAAACGGGTTTGACCTCCTGCTGCCTTTTCAGAAACAAAAACAAAAAAACCTCAACACCTCCTGCCAACTTTTATAAGATAATATAAAGCCTTGTATTAGAGCTTCAATTCTGAGCATCCCATTGGCTGTGAATGACAGTATAAACCCCAAATCCACGTGCAGTCCCCCACACAGATTAAACCTCCATTGAATTCCTTAACCAAGGATGTAAACAGCCTTGTCCTCAGAGGAAAGTGGGTGACCCCACCCATCCCCACCCAGTCCTGGGAGGTGCAGTCTCTTTGGGGCTTGTCTGGGTGCAACCTTGATGTGCTTCAGTCACAGTCAAGGGGCCCGCCTTCTCTGCCCTGCCCTGACTGTCTTGGTCAGAAGGCCTGAGATCTATCTGGTAAACTCTTCTATTGACCCTAACACCACCCTGTTTCCACTTTTGTAGTCACACCTGTAACTTTGATGTGTTGATCTGCCACCAATCATGAATTTGTGACAGTTCCTTTTGTCCCATGCCTTATTTAACTAGTGTCCAACTGCAAATCCTCAGACACGGGCTGACCTGATGCTAACGATGGCCTCAGGATGATGTGTCTGTGTCCTTGGGCTGCCTTTGTCCCTTTTCAGACATGTCCTCCTTGAATTATATTTGAGCATGGGGTCTCTTCTGTACCCTCAAACAGCCCACCATCCAGGATAAAATGTAGATATCTGCTTTTGCAGTCCCACTGGGTTATTCCAGGGCCCCCCAGAGGGTGGTATCAGGCACTTGGGAAACACTGCTTTAGAGATAAATTCCCTTGCTGTCAAGTCTATTTCAGCTCATATGAGCGCACACACGTGTCAGATTAGAACTGCGCTTCATAGGATTTTCAGTTTTTTCAATGATCCAAAGTAGATCGCCAGGCCTTTTCTCCTAGGCACCTGTGGGTAGACACACTTCCAACCTTTTGGTTGGCTTAACCATTTGCACACCCAAGTATTATGTTGACACAGGCAGGTAGGGAGACAAATGTATAGACAGAAACAGTGATCTGGGTGAGGGCTTCCAAAAATATATGTCCTTATTCCTAACCATAAGACCTACAAAGTGACCTTTGGCTGGGGGTAGGGAGTGGGTAGAGTCCTTAGCAGATTTAATTAAGAAGTCTAAGATGAGATCATGCTGGATTATCTTAGGCCTTAAAGTCCTATAAAAAGTATATAAAAGACACAGAGTGAAGAAGACCACATGAAAACAGACAGAAATTGGAGTACGTGGCCATGAAGCCATGGGAAGGTGGACACAGGGCAGGGCAAGGAAGAATTCCTTCTTAGACACGTCGGAGCTAATCTGGAGGCCTGACTTTCAGGGCCAGAAGAGAATGATTTCTGTTGCTTGAAAACTCTAAGCTTGTGGTACCTTGTTAGAGGATACCAGGAAACTGGTCAGACAGACAGGCAGGTGATAGGTCAATCAGTCAGTCTGCCAGTCAGTCGGTAGGCAGGCAGACAGACATAGATAATGGATGATAGATAGTAGGTAGCCGATTCGGACTCACGGGGACTCTACAGGTCAGTATAGAACTGCCCTCAGTGGGTTTCTGAGTCTGGAGCAAGCCCTGCCTTCCTCCCAAGATAGATCGATAACAGAGGGTAGACAGTAGGTGGCACAGTGATTACACATTGAGCTGATAACCTCAAGGTCAGCAGTTTGGAACCACCAGCCTCTATGCAGAAGGATGAGGTGTCATACTCCTGTAAAGAGTTACCATCTCTGGTGAGGAGGTGGGTGTGGGAGACCTGGTAGGGCATGATCAAGGGGAATGTAACAAACAGGAAGTGCTGAAATCCTGGTGGGGACTGAGCATGATAGTGGGACAGGAGGAGAATCAAGGGAAATAGAGGAAAGAGCTGGGAGG